TACTGATTAATGCTTCATTCATTAATCACAGCAAACTTATTCATTTTAGGTATAAATAAAGATCCATTGATTCCTTTAATGAAAACCAGGAGAACAAACTCAGTTCTTCAAACTTTAATCTTTGGTTCTTGGATTCAAGCTAAACCAAAATCCGGCTGTTTATTTTAAAGAAAATTAAAAGTCCTCATTTTAAATGAAAGCAGCTAAAGTTTACAGGAGTTTAAATTTGTTGGACTGTTTACTGATGAAGTGTTTTTTCGTTTTTTTTTTTTTTTTTTTTTTTTTTTTTTTTGGCGGTGGTGCACTAAAGAGACAGGAAGGAGCCGATTAGCTGCTGTCTTCCTGTCTGTGTTTTGGCGCCTTCATCTGCAGGAAGATCTAAACTTTTACAGCTGCAGGTTTCTCCCATTTCATCCCAGTGAAGAAGCTGGATGTGCGCGGCCCTTGGCCCCCAGAGTTTAATGGATTCCCCACATGCTGCTCCAGCTTCCTCCCAGACAGACGGGGAGGATTTCATCCCTGCTGCTGGCCTCAGAGGAGAACTTTAGCTTCCTGCTGTCTGAATCTAATGCAGATGGAGCGTCACAGTCAATCCTGCTGGATTTCAACCGTCGGAGGGAAAAGAATCAGGATCTGATGTGTCTCAGATCCTGATCCATAAACATGAAGCCAGAGATTCCTTCAGTATCATCTGTAGTTTATTATTGTACCTTATTACAGAAGCTCGTTTCTGACAGTCAGCTGGTTCATCATCAGATCATCCATCTTATTCGTCTGACAAACCCCAAACTGAGGCATGGCAGGAACATTCTCTGCATCCTGATGGGAACTGGAACCCAGTGGATTTACCTGGATGAAGGCGGCACCTTCCAGAAATCACCCAGGAGGCGTTTCCATCTAATAACCAGATCAGCAAACTCCGCCTCCATCAGTTTGGGCTTTTATTAAAAAAATAAAATAAACTGAGCTTCATCAGGGAAGTTCATCCTATGAGGAGCAGCTGACTGAAAAACTGCAACACATTGAACAGATACAGCTGCCCCACCAAAATAAAAGCCCAACATCCTGCTTTCACCACGTCAGCTAGCAGGAAGTGATGTCACACCAGTCAGAGGTAGTCTTGGTCATAGTCGTCCATCAACTGCTTCATCTCAGACGCACTGCGGGACAAGTACGAGGACAGCTCATCTAGACAGACAGGAGACATATGAGACAAGTTAGACAGGTCAGAGACAGGTCAAAAAGAGGTGAGACAGGTCAGAGACAGGAGAGGCAGGTGAGACCAGTGACACACAGGTCAAAGACAAGTCTGAGACAGTTAAGACAGTTGAGAAAGGTGAGAGACAGGTCAGAGACAGATTACCGAGGTCAGAGACAGCTTACACAGGTCAGAGACAGGTGTGAGACAGCTGAGACAGGTCAAAGACAGACGAAAGGCAGGTGAGATAGGTCAGAGAGAGGCGGGACAGGTCGGAGACTGGAGAGACAGTTGAGAGACAGGTAAGACAGGTCAAAAACAGGTGAGACAGGTCAGAGACAAGTGAACTTTTAAAAGATAAAGAACACTTGGGACATGGAGGACTCGTGATTCCAGTGGTTTGCCCCACCTTCCCCCAGTACTCCCAGTACAGCGGACGCAGAAACAGATCCCAGATTGTTCCTTGCTGTGCATCGGTAGGTCCCTGAGTCACCTGGCTCCGCCCCTTCGATCTGCAGCCAGCTGGACAGCTCAAACCTCAGAGGACCACCCCTGGACTGGGGAACAGAGGACAGCTGGTGTCTCTGAGAGGACAAACCTAGGTTCCCCGCTGTTTTAACAGGGGCAGCGTCAGCAGCCTGCGTACCTGGACAGAGATGTGAGGGTCGTCTCCTGGTAGGACGACGTCCCGTCCATCCTTCCTCCACTCTACCAGAGCCATGGGGAAGGCAAAGACCTCACAGAGGAACACTAGACTGCTGCCAGAACGGTTCACCTGGTTCCGAGGGGGAACCTTGATCACAGGCTCTGGGACGGTGGGGGAGGACGGACATGTTAGACCAAACAGGGGGACAAAGACACGAAAACAAGTATCTTCTGAGAAAGATAAAGTGTAGGGGAATGAGCGGAAAAGGAAGCAGATTAACTTCAAAATAAAAGACTGTTATAAATCTTTTCTAATGGAAAACAGGAAACACAAGAGAAAACTTTCTACATGGCTGAACCAATCAGATCCGGATCAATGAACTGCTTCAGATCCGGATCAATGAACTGCTTTAGATCCGGATCAATGAACTGCTTTAGATCCGGATCAATGAACTGCTCCAGATCAG